GACCAGCACAAGGCCACGCGGGAGAAGTCGGCACTGGAGGAGGCGCAGCGGCAGCGCTCGCGCCAGCGCCAGCAGACCCTCACCCCCTGGAAGCCACAGCTGTTCCGCCTGGACCCGCTCACCCAGGAGTGGCACTACCGCTACGAGAAGTGAGTGGGCCGTGGAGAGCCCGCGGCCCGGGCCTGGGGCGGCCCGGCAGGCTGCTGCTATCCCTGCGCCCCCCCTCCAAGCTCTGCTCCCAGCCAGGCCCCGACGGGAGGGACGGTCACGTGAGGCCCCCCGAAGCCCTCCCTGGAGTCCCCTGAATGGAGGGCACCCCTGGGTCACCATGGGAGGCTGAGGCCTGGGCCAGAGCAGCTAAGGCCCTCTGGAGCCACTGCCGCAGCCGACGGACCCCTGTGGACCCTCCAGCCACAGCCCTTGGGACCCCCTGAAGGACATGGTGCAGTTTGAGAAAGACGGAGTCCTACACACCCAGAGGCGGGAGACCATGGTCCACCAGGCCACCCTCCTGGGCAGCCCAGGACCCGGGCACGAGGTCAGCGCCCCACCCCGTTCCCAGTCCAGCACCTTCTCCCAACACCGTCTCCCACCCAGCCCCCCTGCCTCTGAGACCAGCTCTGCCACGCTCCCTTCCCCAGCCCACCGCAGGCCTCCACCCCTGGCTGCCCGCCCCTCCCTGTCCAGCAAGGCCCACGCTGCCCGGGCTGCAGGACGCGAGCGGGCGCACGTGCGCTCCTCTCTCAAAGCCAGCCTCTGCCACGCCCCGCATCGCACACATCGGGAGCCTGGGGCAGGCAAGAGGGAAGGCAGGGAGCCTCCCGTGAGGAATGGCGTTGGGGACGCATCCGCCGAGGCCCAGCCCACACTCTCCACATCCTGGGGGTGCCCTGCACAGGCAGAGCCCTCACCCCTGCAGAGTCACCAAGGGGACACTGAGGCCCAGAGAAACAACGTGGCTGCTCTAGTTCATGCCAGAGTGGAGATTCAAGCCACCCTGGGTCAACTGCAGAGCCGCCAGCTTCCTTCTCCATGTCTGGTGCCAGCCTGGTGTCAGGTGACATGTTCCCAAGAGAGGGTGGACTGAGGGGATGCCCCCTGCCATGGCTTTGTCTCTCCACAGAGGCCCGGCCCAGACCGGAGAATCCGCAAGGCAAGCGACCAGCCGTCTGGCCACAGCCAGGTCACCGAGAGCAGCGGTTCGACGCCAGAGTCCTGCCCGGAACTGTCAGATGAGGATGGGGACTTTGTTCCTGGTGAGCCACCCTGTGGCCAGGCCCTGGTGGGCATCTTGGAGGGTGGGAGGGAGAGGTCAGCTTTACCAGCAGTCCCTCTGCGGGATGGCCAGGGCCTGAGAAGCGCCAGCATCACCAGCCCCGCTGCCCCCCGGGGCTCCATGGGCATGGCCAAGGGGCTAGTGAGGATGCAGCTGGGCGGCAGGGGGAGGGAGAGCTAGGGACCATGCAGAGGCCATGAGAGAGGCAAGCCAGGCCTCCGTGCCTTTCCTGCGACAGACAGCCGTGTCCCCCACGAGGCCTGCCTCTGCGGCCTCCCAGGGCTTGCTAGAGGGCCTGAACTCGCTCCCCAACTGCCCCCCACGCCTCTCCCCGCCTCCCCCCTGCCCCGGGCTGGCTCCCACAGGTGTCACAAGCAACGAGACATGGTCCGCACAGGCTTCGGCCCCCCAACCCCAGCTTACCCATGGTGTCTCCCATCTTCTATTTCTGGTCCCCCACATCCAGGCAGTGAGAGCCCCTGCCCTGGGTGCAGGAAGGAGGCCCAGCGGCTGTGGGCACTGCAGGAGGCCATGCTGTCCATCCGGGAGACCCAGCAGGAGCTGCACAGGTAGCCCAGGCTGCCCCACCCCGGAGGCGGGAAGAAGGCAGGGCTGGGACAGGCTGCCAAGCGGGAGCTGGCTGAGCCGGCCAGCTGCCCAGGCTCAGCTGACATTGAGCCTGAGCTTCAAGGAAGCTACAGGAGGAGCTGGGTGGGGATTTGGGGACAGCTCCAGTGTATGGAGGGACAGGGGCCACCAGAGAGAAGCTGAGATGGCCAGGAAGGGCCCAGAGTGCAACTAGACTGAAGCAGACTCTCATAGCCAAGTCCAGAGGCCCCAGACCAGGGCTGCATGAGCAGACACATCCAGTATCTCTGTCCAGGAGGACGCCGGACACGGGGCCGCCGAGCTCACCTCTGCTGAGGCTCCTCCCCGCTGCCGACACATGGCATCCGGAGGGACGGGGCGGCCAGGGCTGGCCTTGAACTCAGCCTGAGCCCTGTCTCTGAGCCTCCCTGCTCTACCACCTAAGCTACAGCTCCACTTCCTGCTTTTGGGTGGTTAACTGGAGCTAAGAGTCTCACTGACTTTCCTGCCCGGGCTGGCTTTGAACCTTGATCATCGATCTCAGCCTCCTGAGTAGCTAGGATGACAGGCCTCATCATCATCCCATGAACTTGGGCCCCCATGACCTTACTGTAGTTTAATTCCCACTCCAGTCACCAGCACCAGCCCAGCACAATCTGGGTCCCAGGGCCAGGGCTTTAGCTTACAGCTTGCTCTCCCCACAGGGGTGTCAGCAAGGATGCAAGAGCCCAGCCCCTCCCACCCCCCCTGGAAAGTGCACAGAGAAGCCCAGCACAGCGGCATGCCCGGCCGCGGGCACTAGCTAGCGCTCTGCCCCACATACAGCCCTGACCCCTCAGGTGGAACATGCCGTCCTGACTCCCTCTCTCCTGGACACCCAGCACCTGGCCGGGCACAGGGAGGGGGGCAGGCAGGCAGGCAGTGCAGCTCCCACACAGCTCCCTCCCCCGTCATGCATTCCAGGCACCTCTCGGCCATCCTGAGCTGCACAGTTCGGACCAGACAGGCACCAGCCCCAAGCCTCCTGCACAGCCCCCGCACCTGGTTTCTGCTCTGTGTGTTCCTGTCCTGCCAGCTCTTCATGAACTACATCCTTAAATAAGAGCTCTTTGAGACTGGGGACAGGGGTATCGTCTGCCCATCTGCCTCCCAGGCACCCAGCACTTTATGCCAGACCCACGGAAGCAGAGAGGACGGCACACAGGGGATAGCAGGCAGGGCCTGGGGCCACCAGGGCTCTGTGACCCCAATGTGCTGTGGGACCGAGTGGGGGTGGGACCCTGGCCTCTCCCATGGGGCCCTCCGCCCAGCACCGGCCTTAATGCTAAAGCCAAATTCAGCTTCTGCTCTGTACCTGTCCCTGGTCCTCACGCCCACACTTGCGACATGGCATGGATGGATCTGGGGGACAGAGGGGCTGCCCAAGGCTTTGCATGGCCACACCACAGTGGCAGTGAGCCAGGAGGGGTCCAGAAGCAGGCTGAAGCAAAGAGCCAGCAGCCACCCGGCTCCTCGGCCTGAGACCCAGCCACGCTGCTGAGGTCCTGGGCCACCGTGGGAGGACAGCGGGGCTCTCACCCGCCATGGCGTTCTTTGGATGGGAGCAAAGACAGGTAGGTACCAGACCATCCCTAGCCCGGCAGCCAGAGCTCAGCGGCGGCCAGGGTGTGCCCTGGTGACAGCAAGTGGGGCATGGAGCCCCAGAGGACAGGTGGCCGCAGCCTGCCGCATTGTCTTCCTGTTCCCTTTTTTTACACATAACTGCAATATTGGAGCCGCTGGCTGCAGTGGTCGGCGCCTGGCGGCCGTCAGTGGCACTGTGTGTGTGTGTGAGAGCGAGCGAGTGTGCGTGTCAGCATCTACCCGGATTCACTTTCGGAGCCTTAAACTAATCTGTGGGTGTCATCCCAGCCGTAGCTGACCATTTCATTTTCCAAGTTTGTACCCAGTTCTTGTCTTCACATCTCCTATTGGGAACATGTCTAGATTCTTTGCCTTGAATAAATGGAAACACATGTTGCCTGTTCTGTGGGGAGTTGTGGGGAATGGGGGTTCCCAAGGAGAGTGGATAACCAGCTTGGGGATGTCAGGAGCAAACGGTGTGGAGTTGACAGCGGGGAGGGCAGATAGCTGGCCTCCTGCACTGGCAGGTGAGGAGGGCAAACTCAAGATTGCCTGTGCTGGTCCTGGCATAGTCCCCTCCTTCACTGTGAGCTCTTAGGACCACAGTTCAAAGCCATCCAAGCCAGGAAAGTCTGTGAACCTCTTATTTCCACTAAACTGAAAAAAAAAAAAAAGCCAGAAGTAGAGCTGTGCCTCAAATGGTAGAGCACTGACCATGAGTAAATGGAGCTCAGGGACAGCACCCAGCACCTGAGTCTAGAATAGAGATCAAACACAAGGCCTAGTATTTGTTAAGCAAGCACTCTAACACTTCCACATCCACACCCTCATCTCAAGTTTTAAAAACACAAAAGCCCTTTAAAGACAAGCAGGCAGGCTCTCCCTCAGGCCAGGGCAAGAGGCTTGCTGGAGCCCAGAAGCTTAACAGAAGACAAGGTGATTATCAGGACCCTATCCCAAAAATGCAAAACAAAACAACCACCGGCACGGCACAGGTGGCTCATTCCTGTCCTTGGAGCTGCTCTGGAGGCTGACATCTCAGCAGCACAGTTCCAAGCAACCCTGGGAGGGAAGTCCTCTCCAATTAACCACCAGAAAGCCAGAAGTGGAGCTGTGACTCAAATGATAGAGCACCAGCCTTGAGCAAAAGGCCTCAGGAACAGCACCCAGGATCTGCATTCAAGCCCCAAGACCAGCACCCAAAACTCAAATGAAAAACGCTGGTATGTTAGAGAGGCAGGTGTGTGATAACACAGCTACTCTGCCAGGAAAGCTGGAGAGGCCGAAGCAGCCACGGGGAACCCCTTCCAGAAGAAAGGGCCAGCCTGCCCTTCGGGAGCCTGGTAAGGGGCCTGTGGAGGGCTCTGAGCAGGGAGACACACACCAGGCCCCGACTAAAGCCATTATGGTGCCAGCCCAGACACAGCCTCCAAAGCCCCAGGGCCAGAACCCCGGGCTCCTGCCTGTCCCATCTCCTCGGGCCCCTGACCTGGCATGTTTCCCCGGGATTTCGGGCTGGGGCCTGGCTCAAGCGGTGCAGCACCTGCCTAAGCAAACGCTAGGTCCCGAGTGGGGTCTAAAACGCCCCCCAAACTGGCTCCCTATTCACGGCAGAGGCTGCACCCCCACCAGCCTCAAACTTCCACCTGAGGGGCTGGGAAGGGGGCTCAGGTGGTAAAGCGCCAGCCTTGCGCTGAAGAGCCGAGGGACAGACAGCACCCTGGCCCAGAGTTCAAGCCCCAGGCCCAACAAGAAAAAAGTCCCACCACCAGGGGCTGGGAAGGTGGCTCAGTGGTAGAGGGCTTGCCTTGCATGCCTGAGGCCCTGGGTTCGATTCCTCAGCACCACATAAGAAAAAAGCCGGGGGCTGGGAAGGTGGCTCAGTGGTAAAGCGCTAGCCTTGAGCTGAAGAGCTGAGGGACAGCGCCCAGGCCCAGAGTTCAGGCCCCATGACCGGACCCAAAAAAAAAAAAGAAAAAAGTCCCACCTGACTCAAGAAAGCCGAGCAAAACAGGGCCGGAAGCCGCAGGCGCGCTCACGGCCTGCAGGGCTCCGCCTGCCGCCTGCCGCCCGTGGTTTCCATTTGCAGACACGTCAGCGTGGAGCGTGGGGGGTGGAGCCTGCTCCAAGCGTGGGGGGTGGAGCCTGCTCCAAGCGTGGGGGGTGGAGCCTGCTCCAAGCGTGGGGGGTGGAGCGTGCGCGCTGGCGCACGGCGGATTCGCCAGCCAGGCTCCGAGGGCGCCCCGAGCTGTGGTGTTTCCGGAAGTCCAGAGACGCCGAGGGACCGCGGGGCTGGGACAGTGTGGCACGAGCCAGCTACACCCGATGAGTGCGGTGCCTTGCCCTGGAGATGAGATGTGGGCTCTGGGGAAAGCCGGCCCCACCCATGGCCGACAGCCTACGGAAGCCTTCCGGCCTGGGCGGCGGGAAGAGCGGGGCGGAGCCGGAGAGGGCGGGGCCCTGGGTAAGGGGCGGGGCCCGGCGACTGTAGTGGC